TTTGATTTCAACAAAAATTGAATATATGGGGTTCTTTGATATGCTGAATCTAAACATGTATTTAGATTTTAGATTTTTGGCCCAGTTTTCAAGTTGGTCCAAATTGGGGTCCAAAATTAAACTTTGTTTGATTTCAACAAAAATTGAATATATGGGGTTCTTTGATATGCTGAATCTTACCATGTATTTAGATTTTTTATTTGTGGGCCCGCTATCAAATTGGTTCATATTGAGGTCAAAAGGGTCCAAAATTAAACTTTGTTTGATTTCATCAAAAATTGAATAATTGGGGTTCTTTGATATGCCAAATCTAACCGTGTTTTTAGATTTTTAATTTTGGGTCCCGTTTTTTAAATTTTTCTACATTAAGGTCCAAAGGGTCCAAAATTAAACTTAGTTTGATTTTAACAAAAATTGAATTCTTCGGGTACTTTGATATGCTGAATCTAAACATGTGTTTAGATTTTTGATTATGGGACCAGTTTTCAAGTTTGTCCAAGTTGGGGTCCAAAATTAAACTTTGTTTGATTTCAACAAAAATTGAATATATGGGGTTCTTTGATATGCTGAATCTAACCATGTATTTTGATTTTGGACATTGGACCATAATAGGTAAATTAAAAAAATTGAAGTTCTTAGACCACATTCTTTCTGTGTCAGAAACCTATGCTGTGTCAAATATTTAATCACAATCCAAATTCAGAGCTGTATCAAGCTTGAATGTTGTGTCCATACTTGCCCCAACTGTTCAGGGTTCGACCTCTGCGGTCGTATCAAGCTGCGCCCAGCGAAGCATTTTATTTGTATTATTTTGTGTTTTTACTTATTTTTCTTTGAGATCAAAAAATAAAAAATAGGATATTTGACTCAAATCATGTTTTCATATGCCCGTTTAGGGACGTATTATACCTTTGTCCGTCTGTCCGTCGTCAACATGTCAGACAATAACTCAAAAACGCTTTAACCAATTGGCATGAAACTTTGGTGAATTGTTTATCTATTGACGTGAGCTCCCTCTCGATTTTTATAAATTTTGAATTTTACGTTTCCGACTTATGGGGTTTTATTCATTAAAAAAGGGGGATTTTCCAGTTTTCGGACAATAACTCAAAAATTCTTTGAACAGTTTTCATGAAACTTTGGTGAATTGTTTATATCTATTGATGTGAGCTCCCTTTCAATATTTATAAATTTTAGATTTTAAGTTTTCGAGTTATGGGGTTTTATTCACTAAAAAAGGGGGATTTTCCAGTTTTTGACAATTACTCAAAAATGCTTTGAGCTGTTTTCGTGAAACTTTGGTGACTGGTTTATGTCTATTGAAAAAGCGACGGGTGTATCATGCGCTCATGGCACAGCTGTTTATTGGTTTTGTTTTGCCTGCCACCGTCACTGGAGGGGGCATTAAGTTTGACCCTTGTCTTTTTATACGACCGCAAAAAAATTTTGTGGTCGTATATTGGTATGACGTTGGCGTCGTCGTCGTCCGGCGTCGTCGCTGTCGTCCGGTGTCGTCGTCCGAAGACACATTGGTTTTCGCACTCTAATTTTAGTTTAAGTGAATGGATCTATTTGAAATTTGACCATAAGGTTAAATACCACAAAAGGAAGGTTGGGATTGATTTTGGGGGTTATGGTACCAACAGTTAAGGAATTAGGGGCCAAAAAGGGGCCAAAAATAAGCATTTTCTAGTTTCCAGACAATAACTGTGGAACAGTGTATGGATCTCTCTGAAATTATACTACAAGTTTCCATACCACAAAGGGATGGTTAGGATTTGCTTTGGGGGGTTATGGCTCAAACCGTTTAGGTATTAGGGGCAAAAAAGGGGGAAAAACAAGGTTGTCCTGGTTAATGGACAAATACTTTAGTACAAAACATAATTTAAAGCATTGTAAGGGAGATAAATCAAATACATCATTGAAATTATCTCCCTTACACTGCTTTTAAATTATGTATAAAATAATGGTTAATGAACAATAAAGATAATTTAAAACAGTGTAAGGGAGGTAATCCAAATACAACGTTTTGGTTACTTCCCTTACACTGCTTTTAAATTATGTTTAAAGAAATGCATATTTATAAAGGAAGACCAGTAAAAATATCTGCAAATGTTGCATCTTTTTTTTTTACAAAAAAATCCATATGAAAGATTTGACACTATATTTTTAATTCTATTATAAAATAGAATAAGTTAGCACTATGGTAAATTTAAATGGGTAATTATGGTTGCCAACTCCATTGGAAATTTGAATTGAGATTATGACCATATCTTGAGGGAAAGAATTTTTTGGGGGAAAAAAAGGGGGGGGGGATAAAAAGAAATTGTGGGGGGTCATTTTTTTCACATTTCAGATTTCAGAAATTAAAAAGAATTATTCTTCAAATATTATTTTTTTTTCAAATTTCAAATATTGAAAAATTTCAAGAAGTAATCTTTAATTGCACAGTATGGCGCATTAGATTTGTAAAATCTTTGATCACATTTATTTATTTGTTATGCCGAATCTAACAGTGTATTTAGATTTTTAATTTTGGGTCCAGTTTTCAAATTGGTCTACATTAAGGTCCAAAGGGTCCAAAATTAAACTTTGTTTGATTTTAGCAAAATTGAATATATGAGGTTCTTTGATATGCTGAATCTAAACATGTATTTAGATTTTCGATTTTTGGCCCAGTTTTCAAGTTGGTCCAAATTGGGGTCCAAAATTAAACTTTGTTTGATTTCAACAAAAATTGAATATATGGGGTTCTTTGATATGCTGAATCTAACCATGTATTTAGATTTTTTATTTGTGGACCTTGTTATCAAATTGGTTCATATTGAGGTCAAAAGGGTCCAAAATTAAACTTTGTTTGATTTCATCAAAAATTGAATTATTGGGGTTCTTTGATATGCCAAATCTAACCGTGTTTTTAGATTTTTAATTTGGGTCCCATTTTTTAAATTGGTCTTCATTAAGGTCCAAAGGGTCCAAAATTAAACTTAGTTTGATTTTAACAAAAATTGAATTCTTGGGGTTCTTTGATATGCTGAATCTAAACATGTGTTTAGATTTTCGATTTTTGGCCCAGTTTTCAAGTTGGTCCAAATTGGGGTCCAAAATTAAACTTTGTTTGATTTGAACAAAAATTGAATATATGAGGTTCTTTGATATGCTGAATCTAACCATGTATTTAGATTTTTTATTTGTGGGCCCCGCTATCAAATTGGTTCATATTGAGGTCAAAAGGGTCCAAAATTAAACTTTGTTTGATTTCATCAAAAATTAAATTATTGGGGTTCTTTGATATTCCAAATCTAACCGTGTATTTAGATTTTTAATTTTAAGTCCTGTTTTTTAAATTGGTCTACATTAAGGTCCAAAGGGTCAAAAATTAAACTTAGTTTGATTTTAGCAAAAATTGAATTCTTGGGGTTCTTTGATGCTGAATCTAAACATGTGTTTAGATTTTTGATTATGGGCCCAGTTTTCAAGTTTGTCCAAGTTGGGGTCCAAAATTAAACTTTGTTTGATTTTAACAAAAAATTGAATATATGGGGTTCTTTGATATGCTGAATCTAACCATGTATTTTGATTTTGGACATTGGACCATAATAGGTAAATTAAAAAAAATCTAGTTCTTAGACCACATTCTTTCTGTGTCAGAAACCTATGCTGTGTCAAATATTTAATAACAATCCAAATTCAGAGCTGTATCAAGCTTGAATGTTGTGTCCATACTTGCCCCAACTGTTCAGGGTTCGACCTCTGCGGTCGTATCAAGCTGCGCCCCAGCGAAGCATTTTATTGATAGTCTGTCCCGAAATTGGTTTCCATTCTCTAACTTTAGTTTGCCCTAACCAAATGTTATGAAATGTATACACAATGCTTATTACCACAAAACACAGATCAAGTTCAAATTTGGGTAGCATCACGTTAACCGGTCTAGAGTTATGCCAGCAATTTTTCCTTTCTGTTCTCTATAACTTCAGTTTGCTTCAACCAAATGTTATGAAACTTATACAGAATGCTTATTACCACAAAACTCAGATCAAGTTCGGCTTTGGGTGGGGTCACTTTTACAGTTCTTAAGTTATGTCCCTTTATAACGTTAAGTGCAAGCGGGGGCATCATCGATCTGTGTCCCATGGACACATTCTTCATTTATTGTTGTTTGATTGCTGTCTCATTCTATTATGTAAAGTTATATAAATAAATGTTGAAAACTTATGATAATAAATATAGAGTGAAATTTTAAATAGCAAAAATGATCAGCATGACAAAATCTACAAATAAGTTAACATGGCAGAAATTGTGGGTCGACTCCTTCATGTCCTTATGGAGTCAGTCCTCAACATGACAATTTTTGAGTTTTGGCTTATTATCTTTAAAACTAAAATATATAAAGAGAAGTTTCAAATTGCAAGATTTATCAGCAGGACAAGATCAAAAAATATATCAACACAGCTGAAATTTCAGTCAACTCCTCGTAGGAGTAATAGCACTTAAATGATGGTTTTAATAAGTTTTTGCATATTTTGGAAAAACTATAATAGACATAATAGAGAGAAACTAAAAACAGAAGAAATGATCAGCAATACCATTATTAGTAATGAATTATATAGTCTTTAAAGGAGAGGCTAAAGATACCGAAGGGATATTCAAACTCATAAGTTGAAAATAAATTGACAGCGCCATGGCAAAAAAAGAGAAAAAGACCAAAAGAAAAACAACAGTACATAAAACACAACATCCAAAAATAAAGACTAAGCAACACGAACCCTTCCAAAAACTGTGGATGTTCTCAGGTGCTCCGGAAGGGTAAGCAGATCGTGCTCCACATGTGGCACCCGTCGTGTTGCTTATGCTATTACAAACCTGCAATGTTCATGATGCTGGAGAGTAGCCATTGTTGAAAATGTTCATAGATCCAGGTAGGACACACTGCTCTTTAGAGGCTCCATTTGTTATATTTGTTTTGATATCTTTTGTCGGAATCCACTTTTCCTTTCCAGTTTATTTACAGAGTTACTCAGCTTGTGTAGTGTGGAAAAATCAGTTTTGTGCAAAATGGAAGGGGAATCAAAGGACTTGCCCTGATATAAATGAGACAATCACACAAGACAGGGAGATTTACATTAACTGCTAACAACTGTTAATAAGGAGAACCACATAAAATACCCTTTACCTTTTATTGCCAGAAGAGGAGGAGAAGCAAAGGAAAAATTCAAAACTAACTGTTGCAAGTGGAGGTTGAGAAAGGGAGAAGCAAAGGAAAATATTCTTGTGCTAAAAGGATAGAAGGAGAACTAAGGCAAAGAATTGCCTTGCCAACTAACTGGAGTAGACAACTGGCCTACCTGATGATTCTGGTCTGGAGAGATGAAGAGAAATCCATTGATTAAAACCTAAATACACAAAAAGGAAAAGAACATTTAGGTAAACAATTTGAAAATCATTTATTATAGAAAAACTTGATAGAAATTCTTGTGATTACAAAAAAGAGGAGAAGATATTTTTTTTTTTACCATTAACATGAGAAAATATTTTTTTACCATTAACAATGATTAAGAAAGTTATTCTAAATCTCGCAGTGATTCATCCAACTGACAGGGCAGGTACTATACTAGGTTTCAGGCCTCCAACATGTCCAGTGGTGTTCCATACATTTAAAAGGTTTATATCAGAAATATGATACAAAATATACTCTTGCCACAAGTCTATGCTATTTCCAAAGGTTTCAAATTTGGAGAAATATGTCTACCATATCATGTATATAAACTTGCATGTTTTGACTAGATGATGGCCATCCATAAACTACAATGGCAGGGGCTGTTTTCAATCAACTGTTACACTTATGGTGGCAGGTCACTTCTAAAAGACTCTGCTATTTGCTGGTATCCAATCCACCCCAAACTCAATAAAAAGGTAGAAAAACAGGAAAAAAGAGAGGGGGTGCACGCTACTGTACATGATGAAATGCAGTGTAAGGTACTCAACGTAGAAGTTGAACATCTCAATTTTTGTCGAGCCTGCGACTTTTGTCGCAGAAAGCTCGACATAGGGATAGTGATCCGGCAGCGGCGGCGGCGGCGGCGGCGTTAGCTAACTTCTTAAAAGCTTAATATTTTAGAAGCTAGAAGACCTGGATGCTTCATACTTTGTATATGGATGCCTCATGTTACGAAGTTTCTGTCAGTCACATGTCCAATGTCCTTGACCTCATTTTCATGGTTCAGTGACTACTTGAAAAAAAAGTTAACATTTTTTGTAATGTTAAATTCTCTCTTATTATAAGTAATAGGATAACTATATTTGGTATGTGCGTACCTTGCAAGGTCCTCATGCCCGTCAGACAGTTTTCACTTGACCTCGACCTCAATTCATGGATCAGTGAACAAGGTTAAGTTTTGGTGGTCAAGTCCATATCTCAGATACTATAAGCAATAGGTCTAGTATATTCGGTGTATGGAAGGACTGTAAGGTGTACATGTCCAACTGGCAGATGTCATCTGACCTTGACCTCATTTTCATGGTTCAGTGGTTATAGTTAAGTTTTTGTGTTTTGGTCTGTTTTTCTTATACTGTATGCAATAGGTCTACTATATTTGGTGTATGGAATGATTGTAAGGTGTACATGTCTAGCTGGCAGGTGTCATCTGACCTTGACCTCGTTTTCATGGTTCAGTGGTCAGAGTTAAGTTTTTGAGTTTTGGTCTTTTTTTCTAATACTATATGCAATAGGTCAACTATATTTGGTGTATGGAAATATTTTATGATCTATATGTTAGTCACGCAGGTTTTATATGACCTTGACCTCATTTTCACGGTTCATTGCTCAGTGTTAAGTTTTTGTGTTTTGGTCTGTTTTTCTTAAACTATAAGCAATAGGTCAACTATATTTGTTATATGGAAAAATTGTTAACTGTACATGTCTGCCTTACATGGTTCATCTGACCTTGACCTCATTTTCATGGTTCATTGGTCAATGTTTAGTTTTCTTGGTTAATGTTAAGTTTATGTGACAGTTGTAATAAAGCTTTATATTTAGGACTATCAACATAATATCAATGATTAGTAAAGAAGGCGAGACATTTCAGCGTGTGCACTCTTGTTATCTTGTCTGTCAAGAATGTAACCATAGTGATGGTATCTTCCCTCTTCTTACTCATCAACATTTAAGTTCAGTCTGTGGTTAAAGATTTTTATACCCCAAATTTCTCGAAGGTAGGTTATTTGCAGTCCTTTTAAATGATTATCATAAGGAAGGGCACATAACCTGCCTAGAACACTAGGTCACCAGGTTTATATTGAATAGTGTGTTGACGGTCACTGGTCCTTTTGTATGAGAAGTCAGTTTGCAAGGTCGCAGGTTGAATTTGACCATGTTGGAGCCACTTATAGATTTGTATGTAGACTTTAAAAACTGAACTTCAAATTTTCTAGAATTCAAATACTGAAGAAAATACAATATTCCCTCAATCCACCAAGGGTTACGATCCAGTCCCCTCCTCTCCATCCTTGGCAGTTGAGATAGAATTTCGGATCCACGAGTAAATGATTTCCATTGGTCGAAGTTGTAACTAGCTGCATCTAATCAAAAAGTGCCTTTAAGATGATCACGTGTAAATGTAGAAAATGTAAATAAACAATTGCCACATGCTGATTGTGCAACAAGTCTTAACCCCCAAAACATAGAACAATATTTAGTAACAATTTTCAAGTTCTTAATCAACTTAATTGAAGTTACTGGGTATGTTTCTCGCGCAAATGTTGGAATGTTAACGTATATTTTAGTTTCCTGCTTCACGAAATTTGTAAACAATAGACACAACCATTTAACACCTCCGCAATAAAGAGATTCCAAGTGCTGTCATTGGTCAAGAATAATGTAGTCAGAATGGGCCTTTCACTTTTATCTACCAATAGATGGCACAGCATTATTGTAATCACAGATGCTGACTTAATCTGCCAAGGGTGGAGAGGAGGGAACTGGATCGTAACCCTTGGCTAGCAAAGATTCAATAATTGGTACACAAGAAAATAAATGAATCCACTTGTCTGGCAGAACACATTTGAAGCCTTGTATCTATGATGAGTTTATCCACAGTTATTCAAAATCAGACAGGAAATTTTTTTTTCAGTAGAAACTAAATTATAAGTAATAATGAATTAAAATAAGGTAAAACAACTTACTGGAAGTGTACAATGGATGATAGTATTGAGGATAATATAAGGTAGCATCTTCATCTGTCTAGAATTAGATAGTTCTTTAAATCAGATTTCAGTGTGGAGTTATATAATATAGATATATATCAAACTTCAAACTTTATATCCTGACAAACTAAACTTTTGTAACATCAATCACAACACACTTCAATATCCAGTCAAAACCTGATTGATTTTCTATGCAGAATTACATGTATCTTGTCAATGAGATTTGTGTGTTGATTAAATAGTGTTGTATGTATGATTTCGTATGTAAACTTTGAGATGTTAATAAACATGATAAATAAATACTGTCCATTGAGTTCAATGAGGCCTATGAAGGGTTCTTTTTTCAATATATGTAAAACTAATTTATGTAAATCTTGCATATTTGTACAGTAAAATGATAACACTGAGGCAGTATTTATTTTATTCATGTATAAAGTTAATAAAAATGGCATCAGTGAATCTCTTTTCACTTCAAAACTACTAATTATTTAAAAGTCTATATACCATTTATTCATAGATAATTCTCAGTTTTGTATTTATATGAATTTGATGACAATTGAAGTGAAATGTCATGATCTAGTATAATTTCACAAATCCTTTTACATTTAAAGACATTAAGAGGACTGTGTTTTTTGATGTGCTAAAAATCTTTGATGAAAAGTTGTCAATTTTGATGTTGTCAGTCCATGCAATATTTTCTATTAACTAAAATTCTGAGGAAATTGCCTCATGCATTTCATGACTTGTGATAAGAAACTTTGTCTTCTAAATTTCTTTCTGATATAATTATTTATTATTAGAAATCATTGCCTTTTTACAAGAGTTGTCTTTCTTTGAGGTTTTCCATTCAAGTATGATAATTTTTCATCTCTTTCTACTTAAGTGGAATGATTTTTTTATACGCCTGTCAAAATTTTGCTGGGACGTATTATGGTATACAAATGTCCGGCGTCTGTCTGCCTGTCCGTCTGTCCATCTGTCTGGCGTCCACATGTCGCACTGTAACTTGAGAACGACTTATCCAAATTTCATGAAACTTAAAATAGTTGTTTCTTATGATGGTCAAATGATCTATATACTTTTTTGTGAAAATAAGATTAAAACTTTTTGAGTTACTGGACTTTGTAACTAAAACAGGAGGGTGTTTTTTTCACATGTCGCGCCGTATCTCAAAAACAATTTATGATTATTGCTTAAAACTTTACACGCTTCTTAGTTATATCAATCTAAAGATCTGTATACTTTTTGGTGATGATTAAAAATTTTATTTTAGAGTAATTGATTTTTTTATTAAAAAAAGGGGGGTTTTCACATGTTGCGCCGTATCTCAGAAACGATTTATGATTATTGCATAAAACTTCACACACAAGACGATGGGCTTTACATGCCCTCGTGGCGCAGCTGTTTATTTCTCTTAGTCAAGAAGAAAGAGAATGTATGTATGACCTCATAAATATAAAATAAGAAGATGTGATATGAATGCCAATGCCAACTATCCGTTTTAAGACCAAATGACATGGATGTAAGCAACTATAGGTCACCATACAACCTTTAACAATGAGCAATACCCGTACCGTATAAGTCAGTTATAAAAGGCCTCTCTACCTGACAATATATGTGAAAGTACATTTGAAATGAGAAGCCTATATATAGAAATAAGAAGATGTGGTATGAGTGCCAATGAGACAACTTTCCATCCAAGTCACAGTGTGTAAAAAGTAAACAATTATAGGTCAAAGTACGGCCTTCAACACGGAGCCTTGGCTCACACCAAACAGCAAGCTATAAAGGGCCCCAAAATGACTAGTGTATATCCTCGATGTTGCCTAAGAAAATAGTGATTATCAATGGTCTTTCAATGCAACAGCTTGATGTTTCTCGGCTACATATCATCTGAAGGCTGTGCTCTTGCTGAGAAACGCCCTCTCATTTGAAGAGCCATCAATAATCTATAAATACCCGATAAGAATAAAGAAATTTCATAGAAAAAATCTATGAATTTATGAACTTATTCAGGAATCCTGTAGTTTTAGCAAAATGATTAGTTTCTATTTCAGCTTATCATTTCAATTGAAAAAATAATTTAAATAATATCAATTTAAAAAAGATAATTTAAAAATAGATTAAAAATGTCAAAGCAAATTCAAGAAAGCGCTGTTATGAGTATATACTTACATTTGATTTTATGATTTTAGAGGAGTTTTTAATACAGGAGTTCCACATTTTCGTATACCTTGTCTACTTATACGGTTTTTAATTATTCTGACTAAATTAGTATCATTCAGACATTTTTTGCAGTGCAATGTCATTTGTCTTTTTTAACTTCAATCAGTTTTGATAAGTTTACAATTTCACTTTAAAGAAATGTCAACCAATGTAGATAAGAAAGATAAATTTACAAGGTCTTTTGAGTTTAAATGTAAAAAATCATTTTGGTCAATATATTTTTTTCAAAGATTTATGATTTTATTTGATATTTCATAAAACCAAATTAAGCTAATCAAATATTCTTTATTAAGAGTGATAAGAGGGGTAGGGATGAAAGAACATGGAAATAAAAATGGATTTTAAAAATTCATGCAAACAATTTTTTGCATTTTGCCAGTCTACATGAAATATGAAAAAAATAATGGTCTTTTAGTACAAAAACATGAATAATTAGAATTGAATTCAAATTTAAGCCTCTCTTAATCTATTGTTCAACTTACATAAGTAACAAAAGTCTTTAGCTTAATTTGACTCAGTAGGTTTCCACTTTCTGTTGCCATATTAAAAATCCAGATATTTTTTGAATAAGGGAGAAGTTAAAGTTGTTAAGTCCTTAAAAGATTCAAACTCATTCACAATTGTCAATGTTAAAAATTTAAAAACATTTTATTTTCTTCAAGTTTGTCATATACCAGTAAGTTATATTTATTTTGTTCAGAATAAGACATTAAAATTGATTATATTGGTATAGTAGAGTTGTGGGTTAGGTTTTGATAAGTGGTAGGTATTAGTTATCTTGTTAACAACAGGTGTATATTTGATGTAGGTATATTTACCTTTACAGTTACTTATAATTGAAATGTTGATTCTAACATTATATAGATCTTGGCAGTTTTCTTGACACCTAATAAAACTACCCATAAATGTTCTTGCCAAGAGACCATTTGCGAGGTGTTGAAAAGAATAAGATCTTCTTGTCCAGAAACTTTAGATTGTAGTGTTTCTGTTACTAAAATAAATATACCACAGACTAATCATTTTAACATATATAACAGATGTTTTGATACAAATTTGGTATATGGTTAGATTAATGCATATGGTTACTTAGGTGTCACTTTTTCTCAGAAAAAAAAATTGTGAAGAACTGCAATAGAACTATCCGGTACATGTATTTCGCGTTCTTCATTTCTTTGCTGTAAGACTATTAATGTTGGAAGAAAATTTTTACAATCAGAACTATCATTTCATAGGAAAATATGAACACAAGAGTAAGGAACCAGTCTTGCAGTCTATCCCAAGATGCACTAGTTCTTCTAGAAAGTTTACCAGGTATGAATTAAAAAAGACAGAAACCCAACAATTTTCTTAACCAAAAAGCAAAGCTAGGTCACCAAAACCTTATTTCAAAATAGATAAAATAAAAAATTTGTAAAACGATTGTTTTAATGATGTCCTTCACTGCTAATATTAAGTAAAACATTTTTATCAGTTTTGTCTTCTTCAGTGTAGAATGATTAATACAGGAACATTTGGAAACAATATGTTTGTGTGTTTATTGTTGTGAGTAGAGGGGAGATAACTCAAATGTTCTTGGAATGACCAACTGAGAAATAAACACCCATATTGATACTGATTAGATATACATGAATGAAATATGAATGTAAGAATAAGGAGTTGTAATATGATTTCCAATGAGACAACTATTGAAGTTATAAATAGAATATTACATCCATTTACAAGAATACAATTTAAGGTTGTTTGAATTATATTATGAGTTTATAAATAATTTACCAGAACTATATTTTAAATGTCAGTTTGTAAAAACAAATAAAGTAATAGATAGATTGTCTGCCATGAATTTTAAGTTGTACAGTGTATGGAAAGGTTAGCAGGGTTACACATCTGTAATATTAAGCTCTTGTTTTTTACAGGGTTATTCAGAAGTGGTCTTCTTAGTGAGTATGTGTTCCGAGAGCAGTCCCATGCATTGACAGTTCTTCATGGTCTAAATGAACAAAGAAAAACAAACACGCTCTGTGATGTCATCATCTGTGTAGAAGATGAGAGATATCCATGTCACAGAAATATTATGGCGGCATGCAGTCCATACTTTTTTGCCATGTTCACAGGTTCGATGCATGGGATTGTCGAGCATGATGAGTAGTTTTAAAAGTGTGTTGCAATTAAAATGCTTAGAAATAAAGTCTCCATGATTAACCACAGTCCAAACAGCACAGGCTTGTAGTTTTATCATTTGACACGTAACAATGTCACTAGAGTTAAATATAGTCTATTTAAAAAATTTAATAAGATGGTTCCAAATAGTCCCATATTGCTCTGAGGTCTAATGCTTTTTTGAAGACTTTGATAGGGCGATCAGATTTTGAGATTGCTGTCTATATAGAAAACATGAAAAAGACTCAGACCCATGAAAAAGACTCATGGTCTATGATTAGTTTTCTTGACCATATGGATTCTATTATTATTTTGAGACAAAAACTTGCCACCTCAAGGCTAACAATTTCCATGTTTTTTTATGGACATTCCACTGCTAATCACTTATTGCTGCTCAGCAAGTCCCCTCCTTATATAAGTCATATTTCAATGAGACAACAGTTTAATGGCACATAAACCAATAGATTTCTATCAAGTTTGAACATAAACTAGCTGACTTTGCAGGGGTGTGGAAATGCTATGAGCGTCTCACCCGACTCGTACATTTTAACACCCAGACAAATAATTTTTTTTGTCTGGGTACTGGACAAAATTCAATTTGATCAAAAATATAGAATTATTTTCACAACTTATTAAGATGTATTATTCATAACCAATGATTGACATGTGAAAAACATATTCTAGTCAAAACATCAATGTTCATGAATTAAACAAAACAAAACCAGAAATAGATTGATAACCAAATGAAAAAAAATAAATATGCGCACCAAGGTCTCATAGACATTACGTTATCCTTGTCAATTGATCTAGGATTGTCAATTAGGTTTTATCCCTTATCTAAAGGAGGTGTTGTTTTAATTTTTTACGACAGTTTTATCAAGATGTATAAATACTTCTAGATGTCTTAGCTTATAAATTTCCCTTGCCTCTCCTGTGAAGATGTTAACCCCATACCTCCTTTTGTTTATACACATAAACAAATATTACAAATATCATTTATATTGTGACACAAAATAGTTTTGAAAATCATACAAGCTAATACAGTGAATTTAATACTTCCAATATTTATTAGGAAATTCAGGGCAAGTAATTTTTTTCTTGACAAGTAAAATTTACAGTTTTACTTGCTCAGGGACAAGTGCTCACAACAAATATTTCAAAATTCCTGCTTTGATATTCCTGATTGTACATGTATTTTGAGTATAATGAATTGATAGCTTCAGCTTTATATTTCCTAGCTTTTTCTCTATGAAACCTAGAATGTAGTAAAAGCTTCTTGTAGTAAAAAACCTCATGTATATTTAAACATTCTTACTAATTATATTAAAATACCTAAAAAAAAAGATATGGACATATGCTTAAAAAAAGCAATGGAGATGACAGCTGTACAAAATTAAATGTCAAAAATACATTGTTTTATTCATATGCAATGTAAATGATGTACATTTGTAACTTACATATAAATGGTGGTTTCAGATTCTGATTATTTAAGCTATTAAGATAGTTTGACTCTATAGCTAGTTACTGTATCATTTCATTACAGGGGAGATGAGAGAAAGCCATGAGAGAGAAGTCCGTATTGATGGTATTTCACCAGATATCATGGAGCAGTTGATAGATTTCGCTTACACAGCTGATATTTCTATTACACAAGAAAATGCCCAACAGTTACTATCGGCTGCTAATCTGGTACAAATCAATACCATTATACAAGCCTGCTGTAATTTCCTGGAAGGTGAGATGGACCCTAGCAATTGTCTGGGGATACATTGTTTTGCAGAAGCACACATTTGTGTAGAACTGAGCGAAAAGGCTCGAGTTTATGTCATTGAGCATTTTACTGATGTAGCGAAACACGAAGAAATTTTACTTCTGCCGAAAGAAAAATTGATTGAATTCATTAGTAAAGATGACTTATATGTTTGTTCAGAGGAAATTGTTTTAGATGCAGTTCTCAAATGGGTGAAACATGATCAGAAACGGAGAATTGCAGAATTATCTGATGTTTTACAGTTTGTCCGTCTGCCATTGGTTAGTCCCTACTTCCTGTTTGATAAACTGGATACAGAGGAGCTGTTAATGATGGCTCCAGGGTGTAGAAAGTTTCTTGATGAGGCAATGAAGTATCACATTTTAAAGGTATTAAAACATTCTTTTTACATATGGCCATTTAGCAATAAAAAAATCTGGAAACAATTAAAAGTTTCAGAAACTATTAATTATATTTTCGTTTATATTTGTAAAAGCATCGACAGAACATTGTCATTGTCAAACAATGTCCTTTGACAATGATTAAGTATCCAGTGGTGTAATGTTACTTTCAATTTTGTGTTCAAGTAAGGAAAATGCAAAATGTCAATCAGATACTCAAATGGTGAATGGTTGCATTCTACTTAGGATATATCTACCAAATTGAAAATTATTGTAATATCCGAGAACTTCCGAATGTTGGACATCAGTACTGTGAATTTAAAACTTTTTGCTATGTTTTTATATTTGTGATGGGATCATGATGATTCATATTGAATTAATTAGAATTTGCATTTTAAATTCTTGTCACATTATATTTGTGCGTATGTTTCCTGACATGGCATTGGTCAGGCTGAATGAGAAAGCAACCTGCCAACTCAAGGGAGCAAAAAATATACCGGACAACTCTAGGCTTCTTGTAACAGTCCCTAAATTTATGAGTGTTATGAATTGCCTTAATTGTCTTATCATCATATAATGGAAATTTCCAGCCAGCCTTGCATTTCTTCCTTGCTGTTTATACAGTCTTGTACAAAATTAACTTTAACTGAGGGATGCATGCATATTCATTTTAACACTTAAGTAGTTATTTCCATGAGATGTATGGCAGAGGAGACCATTGTTTTTTAATAGTACACATTTTATTTTAGGATCATAGAATAGATATGTCTTCTCCCAGAGTTTTCCAGTAAATGTATGGCAGTGTAGACCATGGTTTATTAAAATTTGACTTCTATTTTAGGATTTTAAAATGTAGATGTCTATTTCCCAAGTTATTCCCATGAGATGTATGGCAGTAAATACAATTGTTTATTTATAGTAAACATTCTATAGTAAGATTGTAGAATGGCGAAGTCTTCTCCCCGAATAATTCCCAGGAGATGTATGGCAATAGCCACCTTTGTTTAATTAATTTTAGGATGATAGATGAGGATTTCTTCTCCCTGATGACACTGGACTTTAAGCAACCAGTAATCAATCAATCTTCTCCCTGAGTGATTTCAAGGAGATGTATGGCATTGGAGACAATTGTTTAATTGAAGCAAACATTATATTGTAGGATCGTCGAATGGAGATGTCTTCTCCCCAGGTAGTTCCCAGGAGATGTATGGCAGTGGAAACCATTGTTTAAGTAAAGCAAACATTCTATTTTAGGATCGTAGAATGGAAATGTCTTCTCCTTGAATAGTTTTCAGGAGATGTATGGCATTGGAAAGAATTGTTTATTTATAGTACACATTCTATTGTAGGATCGTAGAATGGAAATGTCTTCTCCCCGAGTAGTTCCTAGGAGATGTATGGCAGTGGAGACAATTGTTTATATTACAGGAGGAGAAATCTACAACAGGAACTATCTTAACTGTGTTGAGGGATATAATCTTGAAAACGGAACTTGGATGAAACTTAAAGATCTACCATTTTCCAGGTGTCACCACTGTTCAGTAGTGTCAGAAGACATGCATCTTTATATAGCTGGTACTTTCATGAAATAAATAAAGATATAGTAACATTGGCACCATTCACTTCAGTTTAAATTCTACACTGAAATTTTATTCACAAAATTAGAAGACACAACATCATGAAATCATAAGGAGATTTATTCCATCCCAAGATATTTGAGCATGGGTGGTTTATGGTATATCATATATTTGCCACTTTATAATTCATTGATGCGTGTTTGAAGTCCAGTGGTAAATATTAGAAATCTACATATGAAAATAAGATGTAGTATGATTGACAATGAGACAACTCTCTAACAGAGACCAAATGACATAGAGGTTAACAACTATAGGTCAACATACAGCCATCAACAATTAGGAAAACCCATACCGCAAAGACAGCTATGAAAAGCCAAGGAATGACAAATGTAAAACAATTCAAATGCACATTTAGGATAAAAGTGTTCTAATGTGATATGGACATTTCTAACTTATTATGCTGGTTTACACTACCTGAATATTTTAAATATGACTGTGATAGGAATGGTCTTTCTTAAGCTTCTAACTCCTAAAGGTAGCAAATAATGGGAAATAAAGATTAATGTCTATGAAATCATGGCACAAAGTCAGTACACACATATGAAAAAACCAAAAGCCTAGTATATGAATCAGATGGTAACCCATCAACACAATATTTAAAGCTTTGTCATTTTTGTATATCCTGCTATAAATGTTGTGGAATTTGACATAGCTATGCTACATTCCATCATTGTTGGCTTCTTTAACATTAAGGAACAGCCTGTTGTGTTAGTTGTATTTAGACATCAATAACTTGGTAAAACTTTCAAGGTGATATTTGGTCATTACTGGGTATTTTTATACCCCAGCTTTAAAAAAGTGGGGGTATACTGTTTTACCTCTGTCTGTCCGTCAGTCATTCCATCCTTCAGTCCGTCCGTCAGTCCGTCTGTCCGTCCCATGAATATTTTAGTCGCATCTTTCTCAGGAACTACATTACAAGGATTTCTGAAATTTGGTTTTAGGGTTTATATAAGTCAGCTATACCGTGTGATGTGTTTTCAGATTCATCACTCAACAACTTCCTGATTAACGAACACATGTATCATTTTACACATGATAGCCAAGTTAAAAATTTTCGTCACATTTTTCTCAGGAACTACAATACAAGGATTTCTGAAATTTGGTTTCAGGGTTTATATAAGTCAGCTATACAGTGTGATGCGTTTTTTCAGATTCATCACTCAACAACTTCCTGTTTACTGAAATAATTGGGCGGGGGTATCATCAGTGAGCAGTAGCTCGCAGTTTCACTTGTTTGCTTTATTTCAGGGCTAGTGGATGCAAGACCATAAGTCAAATTCTTTGCTATACTTTAGGTGGTTGTGGGACCTATTTACCCAGAGTTCTTTGTTGTATTTTAGGTGGTAGTGGGACCAATTTACCCAGAGTTCTTTGTTGTATTTAAGGTGGTTGTGGGACCAATTTACCCAGAGTTCTTTGCAATACTTTAGGTGGTTGTGGGACCAATTTACCTAGAGTTCTTTGCGATATTTTAGGTGGTCTTTGGACCAATTTACCCAGAGTTATTTGCTATATTTGAGGTGGTTGTGGGACCAACTTACCCAGCTATATTTTAGGTGGTTTCGGGACCAATTTACCCAGAGTTCTTTGCTATATTTTAGGTGGTTGTGGGACCAATTTACCCAGAGTTCTTTGCTATATTTTAGGTGGTTGTGGTACCAATTTACCCAGAGTTCTTTGCTATATTTTAGGTGGTTGTGGTACCAATTTACCCAGAGTTCTTTGCTATATTTTAGGTGGTTGTAACAAAGAGAAGGTTGTTGTCAACAATGTCATGAGATATGAGAGATATCTAGATAAGTGGATCAAGGTGGCTTCATTAAATACTCCAAGGGCAAAGTTTGGTAAGTGGTTCAAGGTTGCATCATTAAATATCCAAACAGACAAAGTTTGGTAAGTGGATTAATGTGGCATCATTGAAAAGTCCACAGGCAAATTTTGGTAAGAAGATTAAGTAGCATCATTGAATATTCAATGACAAGTTTTTGGCAATTGGATCAAGGTTGAAGCATTAAAACTCCTTGGGCAAAGTTTGGTAAGTGGATCAAAGATGCATCATAAAAACCCGGATGACAAAATTTTGTTGTACTATTTAAATTTTATTTTATAGCACTGGTAGCATAGAATAATATTATCAAGTTAGATTTGAATAAAAATACATATGAATCACTTTGAAATGCATATCATATTAGCCATGGTGTTGTCAGTTTGTTTGAGACTTATGAGTTTGAATGTCCCTTTGGTATCTATCGCCTTTCCTTTAAGAAGGTCAAGCTACCATTTACAACAAAAGTTAAAAATAAGAATTTTGAAATGAAAATTTTTATCTCCAAACATGAATGTGTGAAAAAAATCAACCAAGCAAAAATTAAAAAACATTAAATCTTAAAGTATATTTGGGGGATGGAAAGGAGATATTTTATATATGAATAGAAATATCAGTTTTGCAGCTAAAATAGGAATGCCAGGAATAAAACCACTCATTTTATTGTTGTTCATTCTGTGCAATGTTTTGGAATTTCTTTGTTCATCTTTTTTCTTTAGGGTGATAGTGTTATAAAGATATAAAAACATACATTCACAGATAAGATTCTAAGATTGATTTTGGCAACTGTTTTATTGCAATAATATCTAGAAAAGCACTATTAAATCCTTAACTTAAAGCAATGACTTTTTTGAGTCCAGGTACAGGTTGTAAGAAAGTTACTTTAATGGTAAGTGATCAGTTAAATTCATAAATAAGAATAAAAAAAATCTGCCTTTACATGTAAGTAGTTGGAATATTGAAAATAGACTAAAAATACCACTAAAGATAGACAAACACATTGGCAAAAATTAAAAACAACCAAAAGACAACAATAACAGAACATTACACAGAAAAGCAAAGATTGAGCAACATGAACCCAAGGGGGGAACTCCGGAACACCAGAAGGAAGGTACTTTCTGCTCCACACATGGCAGACGTGGTGTTGCTCATGTAGTTGGCTAATTTAGTGATAAGTTAAATTCACTTTTTTTCACAAAAGATGAAAAAAGAAAGAGCTAGTGGTTACTACAAGTGAAACACATACATTGTCATCAGCAACACAGATATTTGATAACAGTCACCCAATTTAAATGAGAAAAGTTGATAAAATTTTACGGAAATGATTTTGAATATATGGCATTAACCTTATTTTCATTGCCTAAGAGAGATATGACGATTTGTGCACCCAAGAAAATCATATTTCCTGTGGGCATCCAGGAATATGAAATTTTGTTTCATGTCATGTGGGATAGTCTTAAAATTTCACGACCAATATTTACATGCATTGGAATAATATGTTATGCATATATATTGTAGGTATGGCTGCATTAGATGGTTATATTTATGCCATTGGTGGATTCGATGGGACATCAAGATTGTCCACTGTAGAAAGGTACTGTCCTAAGACCAACAAGTGGTCGTTTGTAGCCTCATTGGCCCAACCTACATCAAGAATTTTTGCTGTTGGTCTGAATGGATTCTTATATGCAGCTGGTATGTTAGTCAAGGAACGTAGTTGATAGTTTTGTAGTACTGTAAGGAATACTCATCTGAATGGCAAACAAACCATTTAAAGTCATTTATTAATAATTTAATTTTGGATGTAACGCGTCTCCCGATTGGCTGACGTTGTTTTGTTGATCAGCTCATAGACATAATTTTGTCGTGTGACCTTGACGTCATCAACGTTTTTTCATGATTTAATCCGGTTTAAAATGGAATTAAGAATTAAATTATAAGAAATGTCTGTAATATTTTTTCTGTCTATTCGAAATAACATAAAAAATGTGGTGCACACTTTAAAATAACACGCTACGCGGGTTATTCAGTGTGCACCATATTTTTGAAGTTATTTCTTCATAGACAGAAAAAATATTACAGTCATTCCTTAATTATTTCTATACTATCAAACATGTAGTAATAAAAAAAATAAACTGTAGTTATAATTTTCCTGAAGTTGTTTTTCAAATATAATAACTTTATTTCTATGACCATGATAACAAGACTTATCAAAACCAAAGTAACTGCAAGTGAAGTATCTGAATAGTGTTGAAATTTTTTGCGTTAGATTGGATGAAAATGAATGAAAACTCAAACATGACTTGCATTAAAGTGAAATCTAATTATTTTGTAACAAAGGATCTGATTTTGAAAGACCAGCATTGAATTCTCAATCTATCTGTAACTAAGGGAAGCAGCCATTTTATTACCTCGTATTAAAGCATACTTGTGAAGTTACACTCTTTAGTTGCCAAAGAAGATAACAGTATTTCAAGGAATTTTGATTTATTAAAATATTTCGCCAAAATGCCTTAAATTGAATGATTTCTTTTTTACATTAGTATAGAGATTTATAACCTCCCCCTCCACCCTTCAAAACTGCAGGTACCCACGTAAGAAATGAATCCTCACTCCCTTGCGCTTATGATAGTTATATAAATATAGACACCCAAAGTTACTATAGCTTTTATTTTTTTTTTCTACCTAGGAGGTGATATAGATCCAGGAAACTCCTCAATGGTGGATGCTTTTATCAGATATAATCCTGTCTGTGATGTCTGGGAAAATGTAAGATTTATTTTTATTGTCAAGCATAGATTACATCAATGAGTTGCTTCCCTTTATATAATCAAATCACAGGTTAAGCATCAGCTGTAGATATTTTTTGGAGTATAACTACTAGGAGCTAGATGTTTGATATACATTGGTTACCCAATATCAGAAAAACACAAAAGAAATCTATAAAGCTCAATGTTAAAAAAATTTGCATACTGAAGAGTTATACCTAGGAAAAACTTTCAACTTGAAAATTACCAACAGTGAGAAATGTTAAAACACACCAGGCCTATAATTCAGTATGCCAAACGCTAAAAATGACTATTTTTTTTGTACATGCCATGTTTGATAATTAATATACTGATAATTAAATGTAACAACAACTGCTTATATGAAACAAAGAATCCATTAAATTGCTACATGCTTTCAATCAAGGCTTAAATAAAAATATTGTTTGTTTGCAGTTTACCGACTGACCCTCGAAAATCCACCCGACTGTGAAAATTTTATTGCTTTTAATTTGAAGAAATTATTTTTAATACTTCTATCGACGCAATCCGGAACATCGGGTCAGTTCCAGAATTGATTTAAAGTAATGGTCGATTACTCGTTTCAACCTCGGTTTTTCTTACCTTCCCATCAATTGTTCATCGGACCGTTTAATGATAACTTTCGAGATGGGACGGCCATACTTCCACGTCGTCCATAGGATGTGTCGGCCATACTGCCTCATCTTTCATAAGACATATATCGTCCATACCTTGTAAAAACATATCGTCCATACCTTGTAAAGACGTATGGTCTATACTTTAAGTATTTATTCCATTGTGGTTATATTATAAAATATAATAATACAAAAAGTATCATTTCATAGTTATAACATTAATATATGGCGAGGCTGTTGTTTTCCAAATGATTGCAAATGACATTTCTGGTTACTTTTATGTTGCAAGGTCGGTACTGCAAAAAGACTGCTCAGATAGCTTGTAAAACTGCAAACAAACATATTTTTATGTTTGGCCCAAGGTTGTGCAAGAAAAATGTTTTACTTCATTAAATTGTGATTATAATGGCCGTAAGTAAACAATTGATCTATTAATTGCATTATGAATGGTAGTTAAAATCAATTTCTCAATCTGATAAATATAGTACCCTGTCCGCTGCACATGGTGTAATTCTTTTATATAAGGATGAAAACAAGTATAAATCACAAAAACATTGACTTGGCGGCAATTGCCTTTGTAGCACTCTCCAGCTTTGATTCATTCAAGATATCATATTCAATTACAAATTGACAAAAAAATTATATACTATTGTATATTTATATACTGTTTGAGTTCAAGACTGAATTGTTAAAAAACATCAAAATTGTATGTAATTTATATTTCAGTTAAAAAACATGTCATTCTCGAGAGCAGTAAGTGGACTGGTTACTTTGAAAGGAAAGATATATGCTGTAGGAGGGATAACAGAAGGGGTGTATTCCAGTAAAGATCTAGAATGTTATGATCCGGACACAGATGTATGGACAAATCTTTCTCCCATGATGGAGTCCAGGTTTGATCCAGGTGAGAAGTCTTTTTCCAATGACTTAGATTATATTTGATCCATAACAAAAGGTATAGTGATGATTTGCTGGTCAAGTTTTCATGGTTCAGCATTTAGTTTTCGTGATACTGTCAGATTTCATACGAATGCAAATTTATCGCGTTCGTATTATGTTATGGTGTTGTCTGCGTCTGCGTCTGAAGACATTTTGGTTTGCAGACAATAACTTGAGTATAAGTGCATGGATCTCTGTGAAATTTTAGCACAAGGTTCCATACCACTAAAGGATGGTTGGGATTGTTTTTGGAGGGTATTGTCCTAGCGGTTTTGTAATTAGGGGCCAAAAAAGGTCAGTTTTACTGGTTCATAGAAAATAAATTGGTTCGCAGACAATAACTTTATAGTATAAGTGTATGGATCTGTATGAAACTTTAGCACAAGGTTCCATACCACATTAAGAGAGTTGGGATTGATTTTGGGGGTTATTGTCCTAGCTGTTTTGTAATTAGGGGCCAGAAAGGGGCCAAAAACAATTATTTGTCTGGTTTTAAGACAATAACTTGGGTATAAGTGTATATATCTCTATTAAATTTTAGCACAAGGTTCCACACCACAATTAGGAAGTTGGGATTAATTTTGGGGGTTATTTTCATAGCTGATTAGGAATAAGGGGCCAAAAAGGGCCTAACAAAAACAATTATTTGTCTGGTTCACAGACAATAACGAGTATAAGTGCATGGATCTCTATTAAATTTTAGCACAAGGTTCCATACCACAATAGGAAGGTTTGGATTTATTTTTGGGGTTATTGTTGTAGCTGTTTTGTAATTAGGGGCCAAAAAGGGGCCAAAAAGAAGCATTTTTCATGTTTCAGGACAATGATTTGTGTATAAGAGTATGGATCTCTATGAAATTTTACCACAAGGTTCTATACTTCATAAGGAAAGTTTTGATTGATTTTTGGGGGGTCATGGTCCAAACTGTTTAATAATTAGGGGCCGAAAAGGGGCCAAAAAACTTTTCTGTCAATAACTTGAGTATAAGTCTATTTATTGCTATTTAATTGTGCTGCAAGGTGTTATATCATAAAATAAAGTTTGGGATTGATTTTAGGGGTTATGACCTTAATGGTTTAGTTAAAAGGGACCAAAAATAATTCTTTTGTAATACTTTGTATAAATTGCTTATATCATTAGCAGTTTCAATGGGGTTTAATTCAAAGTCGTGAATTCATTTGGTTCTTTGATATGCTGTATCTAACCATGTATTTAGATTTTAGATTTTGGGCTCCGTATTTGAATTGGTACAATGGTCCAAAATTAAACTTTGTTTGATTTCATCAAATATTGAATTATTGGTGTTCTTTGATATGCCGAATCTAAGCATGTATTTAGATTTTAATTTTAGGGCCTTCTTTCAAAAGAGGTACGAAAGATACCAGAGGGACTGTCAAACTCATAGATCCAAAAAAAAACTGACGACGCCATGGCCAAAAATAAAAAGACAAACAGACAAATAATAGTACAGATGACACAACATAGAAAACTAAAGACTAAGCAACACGAACCCCACCAAAAACTGGGGGTGATCTCAGGTGCTCCGGAAGGGTAAGCAGATCCTGCTCCACATGTGGCACCCGTCGTGTCAAATTGGTCCACATTAAGGCCCAAAATTATACTTTGTTGAATTTTAAAAAAAATTTAATTCTTTGGGTTCTTTGACATGCTGAATCTAACTGTGTATTTTAAAATTTTGATTTTGGGACCAGTTTTCAAATTGGTTCACATAGTCCAAAATTAAAAATCTTTTGATTTTATGAAAAAATGAATTAAAGGGGTTCTTTGCTAAACTGAATCTAAGCATATATTTTAGATTTTTGATTTCGGGCCAAGTTTTCAGTTGGTCTAAATCGGGATTTAAATATTTATTTATTAGATATTTTGAAAAATTTATTTAAAAAAGTTATCCAGTTCTGTTCAACTGGATACTTTGTTTGATTTCAACAAAAATTGAAAATATGTGCTTCTTTGATATGCTGAATCTAACAATGTATTTAGATTTTGGATTTTGGGCCCCTTTATCAAATTGGTCCACATTGATGTCCAAAGGGTCCAAAAATTAAACTTTGTTTGAATTAAAAAAAAATGAATTCTTGGGATTCTTTGATATGCTGAATCTAACCGTGCATTTAGATTTTGGAAATTGGGCCATGATAGGTATAAGTCCAATTTCAAATTTTTCAGTTTTTCGACCACATTCATTCTGTGTCAGAAACCTATGCTATGTCAAATATTTAATCACAATCCAAATCCAGAGCTGCATCAAGCTTGAATGTAGTGTCCATACTTGCCCCAACTGTTCAGGGTTCGACCTCTGAGGTCGTATCAAGCTGTGCCCAGCGAAGCATTTTATTTATTCTATTTGAGTTGATTTGAAGTGAATTTAACCTGATTTTTGTGGTTCATTGATAACAATAATTGTTTGTGACTCTTGTAGTAATATGTTTATCTCACAGACTTACAAGACAAAATTTTGGAATTTTCAATAAAACAGGCAAGACATTTCAGAATGTGCACTCTTGTTTCTCAATTTTTATATCCACATCCAGTTGAACAGAACAAATTATAGACTGATCAGTTAGAAACATGAAATATCAAACACACAGTAAATTTTTATGTTTGTGAACACCAACCAGCTTACATTAGATGTTAAAAAAATGAAACAATGTGTTTCAGATCATGCAAATTTATGAGTAAAATTGAGAATGGAAATGGGGAATGTGTCAAAGAGACAACAACCCGACCATAGAACAGACAACAGCAGAAGGTCACCAACAGGTCTTCAATGCAGCGAGAAATTCCCTCACCCGGAGGCGTCCTTCAGCTGGCCCCTAAACAAATATATATACTAGTTCAGTGATAATGAACGCCATACTAAACTCCAAATTGTACATAAGATTGATACTGTAAATTGAGATATTGTTGCATTTTTATTAGATATTTAAACAATAATCAAACATAAGAGTTTTAATTATTGATATTTTAGTAACATCCCACTGTGCTATCAAAATTTAAAATGCAAGTTTTTTTTTGTTGTGAAACTGATTTCATTGCAGTTTTAATAATGATAAAAACATCACAAAAACTCTTTGAATTTATTTTTTTTCAAATTGATTATAGTAGTAACACATTCATTAATTTGTTGTAGGAGTAACAGCATTTAACAATCAGATATTTGTGCTTGGTGGTAATGATGGAGGGAACTCATTCTACTCTAACATTGAAAGTTATGACACTACTGATGATAAATGGAAAGTTATGGCATCCTTAACTCTGCCCTATGGAAGATGTAGGTTCACAGCTGTTGCTATGGGAACACAGCAGACATGATATTTCTTGGAAAGTATATGATGAATGCAATTCTGTTTCCACTTTAATGAAAATTTTACGATTGTGATGAAACTTTTGTTATGAAAAGGAGTAGAATATTTTTGTTACAAGTCATTTCTCGCCAGAAAAATTCTGAATTTGCAAACTATTTTTCTCATCATTTCCTATACTCAACATTGTTTCAAGCACTAGATACCAGTTTTGGTGGAGTTTGCCTTGCTCAGTCTTTAGTTTTCTATGTTGTAAAAACACAACATAGAAAACTAAAGACTGAGCAAGACAAACCCCCACCAAAACTGGTAGACTGTTATTTGCCTTTTCTTTATTTTTATGTTTTTTGCCATGGTGTTGTAATTTTGTCTTCCACTTATGAGTTTAAATATCCCTTTTGGTATCTTTTGCCACTCTGTATTAAACATAGATTATGGGTTTTATGCCTCATCATGTTGAAGGCCTTATATATATGATGACCTAAAGTTGCTAACATTTATGTCATATGGTCTCTGTCGGAAAGTTGTATCATTGTCAATTATATCACATCTTCTTATTTTTATATTTAATGTGGGTTTTTTAAAATTTAACTTAAACATTTTCTGATAAAGACATGACTTGTAACAAACATTACATTTTGCTCAGAGGTAAAAAGGTGTATGAGATGTATAATATAATGTTATCTAGTTAAATGTCGATTATTGTACATAAAGTTTAAAGGTCATATTTTTTTTCTTTGGAAGAAATAATTTATTTATCATGTTCTTACATTTAAAACATTGAATTTTACATGTTTTGTTCATGTTTTTATTGCGTAAGTATTTTTAAACAGTTTGCCAAAGAAATTTGACAACTTTTGAATAATGAAAATACAGTATACTATTGCCTATAGTTAATTCTTCTTTCCATTTTTCCATCATTCATGTTTTCTACTTGTCACCTCACATTTAGGTTTCTTAAATGAGAACATATAATGCAGAAATATCATACATGGATACACATCAATCTTATTATAGAGCAAAAGGCAGATTAAAATTACCAATAAGATATTTCACACAATGGAATGGACCATGAGTACTCCTTCATATGAATAAGATCATTCTGGTTTTTGCATACAAGACTTGGGATTGTTTCATACTTATCATGTCAGGGCCTTTTATAGCCGACCATACCGTATGGGTTTTTCTCATTGTTGAAGGCTGTACAGTTGCCTTTAATTGCTTACATCCACTTCATTTGAACTTTGGTGGATAGTTGTCTCATTGGCAATCATACCACATCTCCTTATTTTTTATATTGGGTACTTCTTCCCATGTCATTACTGACAGTGACTAGAAACAAAGTTGAAGAAGATGTTACTGATTTAATTTAGAAAACATTAACATTTTGTTAGTTTTACACATGAATTAAAGGAGTTTGAGGGTTTAAGTATATGAGACAGCAACCCAAGATACTGATTTTCTCTATTAGGAATTTAAAGAAAGAAATTGTACCCACTTATACCATATGGTTTGTTGAATATCATAAAATCCTATAAGGGCAAATCTTATAGCATTGTAATATGTTGGTAAGGAAAGATTTCATATGAAGTAAGATCATTCAGTAAAGGGTAACCTTCAGCAGAGTCAGAGCACTGTAAAATTGTTTCATGTTTCTAGTTGACTTCTTGTTGATGTATAATACCATAAGAAGTAAACCAGAAATTAACAAAAATATTGCACAGTACAACTGACCATACCAACACTGACTATGCTGACAGATAGGCATACGCACAAAACTATAACAACAACGAACAACACATCTTCCAGATAGCTTGACTTGGTACAGGCACACAATGTTTGTGTTTGTATCTGAAATTGACTAATTTCAAACCATGTCAAAACTGACTGAAATGTTTTCATGGGAATCTTGACTAAGAAGGTATAATGAAATACAGAGGTTGTGGAAAGCTGACTGTGATACATTTTGTAGATCATTTTTGCTCATGTTAAATTTGTTGTCCCATTTCTCTATGTTGTCATTTTCAAGAATTGTATAGATTAAAACAAGTTGCTTACTTTTGTTAGTTTCATGTTGGAAATGAATTATGTGATACAATATTTATAAAATAAATTGTCTGAATCTTTTGTATTTTTATTTTGTATAATTTCAACTGGATAACTAATACAAAGTAATGACTTTGAAGCATGCAATTAATAGTATATGTATACCAATATTAAAGTTAAAATGTTTTGTCACTCACTGCAAGTGGTACATGATGGTGTATAGAAACTTTGTGAAGGGCACATGTATTTCTGACATGCCGAAGTCTGACCTGGAAAGTTATTGTAAAAACATGTAATGTGTCCATGGAAACTATATCAGTTGATACAGGTGCTGGTAGACTATCATCCCACAAGTCTATCTATGTTCAACTTTGATCTTAACTGACAATGATTGCCAGTTTTCCAGCCAAAGGTCGTCGATTCACCTCATATACCCCTGTTCCCTCCACCAATGAAAACGGATATATCCATTTAGCCAATTGCAAGGTTTCTGCAAGTAACGTAAAACACCCAAGTATTCCACCCAGTAGTCTGCACAGAAGTATTGTCATGATTTAAATAAACTGAATTGTACAGTTATACCTGAAAATATTATTTGTTTGTTTTTTTAATGATTATTGACAGCATAAAAGTTTTTTTTGTCTGTCATTCTACGGGTTGAAAACTATTTCTTGATGGCATCTTTTTTCCTTCTTTTTTATAAGGATCTTTTAGATAGATAAATAGTTTGTTCTCATTAAACCATACAAGAACAAAGGTTACAGAGAAGTAAAATAAAAATAAACATATATTAAAATAAACATGCATAAAAATTATGAGATGAGATAGAATATGAGAAATACATTTATACACACAAATAATGGAAAAAAAACATTTTCAATAATAGTATAACAAAACTCCAAATTTCAAGGCAAATTCAAAAAAGGGGAAGTCATGAAAACGTGACATCAAACGCTACCAATCAACGGAACAAGTTAAAACAAGTTCAGAGAAATAGATAGTGTATGCATATATGTAAGATGTACGATATGCAAAAGGGGTAGATTCAATGAAGTCAATAGGTAAAAGTTCAATGTAACTTTATTCTAATGACAGATAAGGGGAAGCTTATTGAATTTGTTTTCCGTATATCAAAGTTGTTTAAAAATAGTAATGCTAGTTTTGAGGATGAAAAATTGAAACCAAATATTATCAAGTTCAAAGGACATAGCTATAGACATGATAGACTGAAACTATAGAAAATGATATACAATGTTTGTTTCCAAATATTAATGTCCTCTTAAATGATGGCTTTTAAATAGATATATAGATTGAAATGTAACCAGAAGGCGAAAACGTAGATAAGTATAGGTTTTTTATCCAACGTTACGTCATCATCTCGCTTTATTGTGTCACCGTAGCTATTTATTAAAGTAGTACAGCTATATACTAGTACTATACTATATTTTGTGTACTTTGTTTACTACCATTTACGCATTCATTCATTAATTCATTCATTCATTCATTGATGGACAGCTAGAAAAAGACTTTAGTCTATGTTCTAGCTACTCTGCCCGAATTTATAATGCATGCAACCCAGCCTCTTTTTCTAGTACTATAAATATGGTGTACTCGTACTAATGCGAGTTTTACACTTTAGCATGCACGAGCTACATATGGGATATATAGCTATTTCCCTATTTTCAGGTAAGCACATTTGTTTATGTAGGCCTTATAATGCATGTACTTTTATCCAATTACAGTTCATATTAAAAGGAAACTTCAATTTAACATTTGAAATAAATGTTTATTCTAATAATGTATTTTCAGTGTGAATAAATGGTTTGCAACTTTATTATCGTCACTGATATCAACGCCCTATTAATTAGAACCAAGTGGCCATTAACCCTGTGACAATTTGAACAGCTAAACCTATTACACGTCCGAACATGACTGATTGAACGGAAAGTTTTCCATAACAAAAGCTGCACATGAGCATGATCTATGGAAATACAACACGTTGCAAAATATGATTTACCCAAGTATCTAGAGCAACCCAAATATTACTAGGACTAAACATTCTGTATGTATGTGCATGTCCCAAGTCAGGAGCCTGTAATTCAGTGCCGGGTTGTCGTTTATTTATGTGTTACATGTTTGTTTTTCATTCATTTTTATACAACCGCAAAAAAATATTGCGGTCATATATTGGTATGACGTTGGCGTCGTCGTCCTCATCCGAAGACACATTGGTTTTCGCACTCTAACTTTTGTTTAAGTGAATGGATCTCTATGAAATTTTACCATAAGGTTCAATACCACAAAAGAAAGGTTGGGATTGATTTTGGGGGTTATGGTACCAACAGTTAAGGAATTGGGGGCCAAAAAGGGGCCAAAAATAATCATTTTTGTAACTTCCAGACATAACTTGTGTGTTAGTGTATGGATCTCTCTGACATTGTACCACAAGGTTCCATATCACAAAGGGAATGCTGGGATTGATTTTTGGGGGTAATTGCCTCAAAATTTTAGGAATTAGGGGCCAAAAAAGGGGCAAAAAACAAGCTTTTTTCTAGTTTCAGGACAATAACTTGTGTGTAAGTGTATGGCTCTTTCTGAAATTGTACTTCAAGGTTCCATATAACAAAGGAAAAGCTCGAATTGAGTTTGGGGATAATTGCCCGAAACGTTAAGGAATAAAGGGCCAAAAAGGGGCCAAAAATAAGCATTTTTCTAGTTTCCAGACAATAACTTGTGTTCAAGTGTATGGATCTCTCTGAAATTGTACTGCAAGGTACCATACCACAAAGAGGGGCTGGGATTAATTTTGGGGGTAATTGCCTCAAAATATTAAGAATTAGGGGCAAAAAAGGGGCAAAAACAAGCATTTTTCTAGTTTCAGGACAATAACTTGTGTGTAAGTGTATGGATTTTTATGAAATTGTACTACAAGGTTCCATGTCACAAAGGGAAAGCTGGGTTTCAGTTTGGGGGTAATTGCCCTATACGATTAGGAATTTGGGGCCAAAAAAATAAGCATTTTTCTAGTTTCCAGACAATAACTTGTGTGCAAGTGTATGGATCACTCTGAAATTGTACTGCAAGGTACCATACCACAAAGGGAAGGCTGGGATTGAGTTTGGGGTGATGAATCATAAGGGGGTTCAAAAAATTGGGGGGGGGGATTTTTTTTCATTTTTTTTTCTTTAAAATTTTCCATTTTAAATTGGTTATTTCTGATTTATATATAAAAGCAAATAATAATGTTATGGTTTGAATAGGTAAATTATTAAGTTCTTAGACCACATTCATTCTGTGTCAGAAACCTATACTGTGTCAAATATTTAATCACAATCCAAATTCAGTGCTGTATCAAGCTTGAATGTTGTGTCCATACTTGCCCCAACTGTTCAGGGTTCGAACTCTGTGGTCGTATCAAGCTGCGCCCAGCGGAGCATTTTATTTGTAAATAAATTGGGCCGTTAGTTTTCTCGTTTGAATTGCATTACATTGTCATTTCGGGGGCTTTTATAGCTGACAATGCGGAATATGCTTTGCTCATTGTTGAAGGCCTTTCGGTGACCTATAGTTGTTAATTTCTGTGTCATTAGGTCTCTTGTGGGGAGTTGTCTTATTTGCAATCATACCACATCTTCTTTTTTATATTGTGTGTATGAATTGTTTTGTGGTTCTTACTGCACGTACGTGTGACATCCATTGTAATGCTCATAGTTTAAAAAAGTAAAAATATGGTTGGTTATTTACTTCAAATTCAAAATATAGGAATTTTGTTGATTAAAAAGATCGTTCGGAAAAAATATTATACTATATTAGTGAAATCACTACAGTACTAATAAACTGAGAATGACATTCGTTTTAAATAAATTCTTGCGAGGGGAACCACCGAGAAGTTTTGAAAAGAATAGTATCTAATTTAAACATTTGAATATTAAATTTTATTTCTTAAAAATTAAATCTCATTTAGAACACACGACGCAGGTCAAAGGGTATCCGTGACGATAAGGTGGACATGGCAGGGCTCCACATTGAGCAACAACTTCATACAACAGATATCCATCGGTGTTGGCGCTTCCACCGTGTATGTATTGTGGGTGAAAATTTACACATAAATAGGTGGAGGCGCCGCCATGTCCAGCAGCACCTGCAGATAGCGTTCCTTTATACTGTAATTTCCACCCTTTATGGCATCTTGTTTTTCCAGGTATCATGATTGTAGTTCCGAATTGAACATGACAGACACTGCATGGAACATCCTGCTGAACAGAATTCCAACGAAAGAAATTGGTCTCATATTCTGTTCCATATATGTAAGCAGCATTGCTACCAGATGTTTTCACGAAATTAGGGTTTGTTGGTAAGCATACAGGTTCCGCAGGTCTTCCTGCATGACTGTAATAACCACCACCAGTGTATCCTATAAGTAAACAAGAGAGTACTTACACACACATGTCTTACCTTTACAATCGAAAAAGAATTACTAGTTTGTTTGCCAAAACCACATGCATCAAACTGACAAACAATCCGGCAGTTCAATTTTAACTATAATGAACTACGATAATGAAATTGGAGAAAACCAGTGACAATATCAAAATGACTATTTATTTTTCACTCTATTCTGTCCTGCCTTTTTTATTAGGTTATCGTGACTTTGCTTACATAAATTGTCATCCTGCCTTTTTTTGCAAAGTTGTTCATGCTGCCTTGATTTTACTCCAAACTCCTGTCCTGTCTTTTTTTCAAATTTCATCCTGGCCACACATCCCCAGAAAAATCAAAATGTAGCACCCTTACTGATACGTCAATGAGACAAAATAACACGAGATATATAAAAAAAAATCTAAAGTATGATTTTTGCTTAATCATTAATGAAACTTAAAGAGTGAAATAATAATTCGCTTTTAGAAGCCAGTATGGTTCAATTTTGTCAAATTAAGCCAAGAAACATTGATTATGAATTCTTCATTTGAAAGTGAATAATTCGACTTCATTGAATCCGTATTCATGTGAACTTCAATTTAACCCCTCAGCTAGAGATGGATAACGCATGAATTGTGCGTGTTAAGTTATCTAAAGGAAAAGAATGTCAAAAAGTGAAACAATGTTAAATCATTTGATTGACGATTTGATCCGAAAAAAAATCATTCTTGTACAGGTACATATGTAAAAACGATGATTTAAATATATTTCTAATCTGTAAAATGAAATGAACAGACCTTGAAAAATCCAACGCACGAGTTCAATTTCTATTTATATATATATTTATGTTTATATCGCTAGTATGGCCATCGGAGGTGTTCGGAGGTTAACTCGATAGTTATTTAGATGGCGTAAAGATTAATATACACACGAAACGAAGCTACATATAATCGAGCCCATGTCCTGAAAATTGTTTATTTTAGATATTTTAAAATTTGGATAAATGTTTTACATGGTTATAAATCAAATATACGAATTTGAGTCAAATCAGTGAACATTAATTTGACAGCTAGTGCCCTTTTAAGAAAAACAATTTAAATTTAAAAGTCAACATACCATTTTCACCAATAGATTATCATTGTTTCCTTGATATACATGATAAATGATATATGAATTCTTTAATCGACACAAAAAGTTGTGAGTTGAAATAAGAATAAGACATAATAACATTTTGTTTATCTTATACTCATTCGGCTTGTACTATTTTATAATACGAGTGAAATTTATATGTGCACTTACCAGAATATACAAGTTTAGTTCCACTTATTGGTGGACATGTTGTTCTTCCCCATCGGACATACGTATCTCCTCCACCTGTAAATTGTAACCTTATTATAAATATAAGTACATGTAGATGCGACATGATTAACAATCAGGCTTTCAGTAACGACGAAAACACAAAACTAATACATATTACGCCCTTTTGAACGCTCTTGTATTAACAGAAAATCAACGGTCTGATTAACAATTTGATGTAACTATGTACTTGCTTAGAGACTCATGAATTGCAAGCACACAGAAAATGACAACTTGATCCATATTACAAAGCTTCTGACAACAATCGATGTCCAAAATAAAATTGAGAATGGAAATGGGGAATATGTCAAAGAGACAACCCGACCAAAGAGTAGACAACAGCCGAAGGCAACCAATGGATCTTCAATTAAAAACATTAATACATAGGTGTTTTCCCGTATGCACTGCTTTTTTTGTAAAATATAAAATGATAGCATAAACACTTCATCGTATATGGATGTCATTCGAAAAATCGAAATCACCTATACTGTTTCGGCAAATGAAAGAGTTTGTTTTTTGCGACTCCTGGTAATAACACCAATATAGGATAACACAAGTGTTGTTTATGTATGGCTATTGTGTCTAGTTTCTTAAACAAATGGTAAGAAATTTTACCTGAAAATTATGTGTACATGCATGAAAATGGTAAGACATTTTAGAATTTGAATAATTCTTTTTCTAAGGACTTAAGGTAACACATTTTTGTTCTATTTGTGTACATTTTGAAGCTGGATTGAACTGAATAACAGTAGCTTTCTGACATATTTAGGGAAGCAAAAGGAGTTGCAGATGTTCAAGTACATGTGTGCCATATATGAACAAAAATGCATTAGACGTTACTACAAAATCTGGAAATACTTCAAAAAATTAAAAAATGCAATTCAAATTTTAAATGCAATGTTTTTTTTTTATTAGGGGAGGGGGGATTGTGCAATCTATTCAATGTTTATAACAGTTCTACCCTTTGAAAGCTACATTGGAAGGACAGAAAAGAATCTATTATTATCGTTTAAAAGTAGGGCGATAGATACTAAGGAACAATAAATCAAACATACAATCTAATTTGAAGAATAACCGTTAATGAGAACAATAAAAACACTTGAAAAAGAGTCCAAACCAAAAACCGGAAAAAAGAACTCAAGTGGAACGAAGTTTTTTTTTCTGCTAGTGAGACCGCGGCTCTGATGAAAAGTTTTTATTGAAAGATAATTAGGAAGAGAAGCTACAAAAATTGGAATGTGTGCATGTAATTCGTGATGTAGATTTATCTTTAAAGTCAACCAAAACATGACGGCCATTTCAGGATTTTCTATGAGGTTATATATATGAATGTTAAACTCTAATAAAATTGTATTACAATTGCATGTATCAACTTACCCATATTACTGTAGGCTCTTTTTATCTGATAAATTTGCTCTTCTAGTTTGCTTTTGTCTAAATCTACTTTTTTCGTCAGATGATCGATCTTCTTTTTGACTGCGATAACTTTAAAATTTACGTCATCGAGCGGTTTGGCATCCTTATTAATGCCACTATTTCCGTTGTTTGATTTTAGAGAAACAATGTTTTTTTGATTTTCAATGGCAATATCTTTGAGTTTCTCAATACGTGCTTCTAAAGAACTTAACTGTTTTAATATTAACCAAATCAATGGACTGTCCTTCCCTTCATTGTCACTTCTTTTTGATACAGGTTCAGAAAAAACAGCAGAATACAAAATACAGAACACTAACACAAACAACTGCATTTTCTCTCTTCAAGCAGCTGATCCGCTATGCACAAAAAGTCACAGAAAAGTAAATCTCTAAAGTATCAGTGACAACCATATGTTTATCAAATCAATAGAATGTATCACGAGTATGTTAGTAGTGCACGAAAGGTATGTTTTATCAACAAAAATCGCCTATAAAATCCGTATGAATTAAAAGAAAAAAAAAATAAGAAAAGGAACAATTGGCAAGTCATTTATTTGTTATTGGTTCTGGAAAGATCATCATAGACCTTTTACATTGAGTTAGATTTCAAGTTCACATGAACTGATGATCATTACTGAATACTTCGTATATTTGTGGCGTATCAAAGAAAAGTAAAATCTTCGTGCATTTATTTCATTTAAATTTTAATTCAATCTTTTACGTCTTCTTATTAAACACTATGATAATATCTAGTACATGATTTGCTCAATATCCTTGAATTTGGGAAGACAACAAAACAAAAGAAAACTACTGTTACAGTCCGCAATTAGTTGGTAGATGTTGGAAAACTTGACATTGGACATGTTAGAATATTTGTATATCAACTGATTGTATTTGTGAGTGTTAAGGCAACCAACAAATGTAGACATGTACTAGTCCGTTTCTTGACGCCACGGGTACGAATTTCCTACACATGCGGAACAATTGTTTGTCAATATAAACGGAAAATACGAGAGGGTGGATAATAAAAATTCATGAGTCGAAAGAGAAACTGTCAAAATAATTGTAAAAAACCCTATAAATGATAAAAAGACAAACAACAGTCTGTTAAAGTGGCACTAGCTGTCAAATTAATGTTCACCAATTTGACTCAAATTCTTATATTTGATGTATAACCATGTAAAACATTTACCCAAATTATAAAAAGCCTAAAATAAACAATTTACAGGGCATGGGCACGATATTGTGTAGCTTCGTTTCGTGTGTATTTTAGTCTTGACGCCATCTAATTAACTATCGAGTTGACCTCTAAAGACCTCCGATGGTCATATATATATATAAAAGATAAAATAAAAAAACATCCATTTGTAAATATAGATATAAATAGAAAGCGAACATGTGCGATTGGATTTTTCTAGGTCGATTTAATATCATATTATAGATTAGAAATATATGTTAATCATTGTTGTTTCCTGTATAAGAATAATTTTGTTTTGGATCGAATCAGTCAATCAAATGATTTACCTTTGTTTCACTTTCAAAGTTGACATTCTTTTCCTTTAAATAATCGAACACGCACTATTCATGCGTTATCAATCTCTAGCTAAGGGATTACATTGAAGTTCACATGAAAACCGATTGAATGAGGTCCAATTATTCACTTGCAAGTGAATAATTCATCATCAATGTTGTTAGCATAATTTGACAAAATTGAACCATACTGGCTGCTAAAAGCGAATTATTATTTCACTTTCATTAATGATTGAACTAAAAAAAATCATACTTTAGATTTTTTATATATCTCGTAGCAAGTGCCCCTTAAAACACTGCCTATTACAATACAGACTGAGATACAGATACAAAATATCGGGTGATATCCTTATAATTGCAGGTGCTCTGGATGGATAAGCTGATACTGCTAAACATGGAAGTGTTCTTATATTTAATCTGATTGAGATGTTTTGTGCTTTTTAATTAAATTATAAGTAATAAAGGCTAATATATCTTTTTTTATTAATTCTTAATGTGCCTGTTCCAAATCAGGAGAGTGTGATTCTGTGGTCGTTTGTTTCTGTCTCTTATGTTTGTTTTACGTCTGTTGTTTTGTCATAATTCAGGCGGTTGGTGTTTTTGAATGGTTTTACATATCGGGGCCTTTCGTAGCTATGTGGTATATATGTGTTTTGCTCATCGTTGAAGACCATATACATGTAGTTTTCATATAAATACCTTAATCTACGCCATTTGACTCAGTTGGAAAGTCGACTCGTTTGCAAACTACCGCATCTCCATACATGTCATATTGAAACAGGGTCATATTTAATGTCATACTATATGTTCAACATCATTCCTTTAATGTGTAAACATTTGTTGCATGTCTCTATCTAAGCTCTTCAAATGTATTATGTCAACTTTATGTAGCCTTTGAAAAAAAAACGATCAATGGATTCCACATTCTACCAATCCTTGATTTAAGGCTGAATTTAATGGTGTATTTGGTGTGTTAATATAAATTAAACCAAGACATACAAATCTAAGGAGAAAGTGTACGTACAACTGTCAAACGTTTAATATTGTTACTTGTTTTTATTAAAGCGTCACTGGTGAGTCTTTACACAGCGGTATACTCCTACTGCCTTTATTTATGTAGACGAAACAAGCGTCTGGCGTACAAAATGTAGATCCTGGTACCAATGATGAGTTTATTGTGGAACCTCGCTATGATATTGTCTGGAATTGTTACTGACGAAGTTAATGTCAATGATGAAGAGTCATCATTTCTTTAAATGATTCCTGTAAAAAAAGACAAATGGCATGATGTGAAATTGAACTTTTAATTTAATTTTCCAAAGCAGTAACAATTTTGTGCATTAATTACATTGATATTACTTGTTCAGTTTAGATTCAAAATTATTGAGTACATTATAACTAATAAAACCACAGGATTCCAAGTACAAATGAACATATGATTACTATAACTCACCTCTTTCAACGAACTAGATTTTATTGAAAGTTTTAATTCTTCTATGTAGTTTTTTATTTCACGGGTCGTATGTTAACGTAGGTTAACTGAACAGTAAAGAAGGAGTCGAAGATAAAAATGTTATATGTCACTTATACCGTCTTAAACAGGCTATCACAATAGGAAATTTTACATCATCAGTAGATTCACATATCAGAAGTAAATATTGGAATCTAAAGATTCATGACTTTCGTGAGATAAGACAAACATTCATCATTTATGAACTTTAGGAGTTTCGATTTTTGTCGTTTAGAAGGATGTAATTACCATACGGGGGTTAAGTAAGAATTCTTTTTCAAATTAATACGGAAAATATCGACACGTACAGGTACAGACTTAGTATCCCTTTGAATGCCTATTATTTTTGCTATTCAAAAAGTCTAGCATTTTGCAATATTGTCGGGATATATTTCTTTTTGGATTTAGTTTTGGTTACTCTTAAACAAGCCGTTTGTATTTACAGTTCCCCTTTTTGGTGATTTGGCTGACGCGGCAAATTCAGCAATGGTCAGAAAATCGCTTATAGACTACAGATGGGTGCGGTCCTAACCTGTACACAAGTTAACTTAAAGCAGTCCCTACGACTGCTCTATAGGTTAACATGGGAACATTTTAGCAGACCTGTAAGTTAACTTTATCCCTAGCAGACCAGACCTCATGTCTGCTTTTTTAGGACTGCTGCAGACCAGACCTGAGGACAAGTTTGATAGAGCAGACCTGTTCCCCGGACAGGTCAGCTAGACCAGACCAGTCCTGTGGACAGGTCAGATTGACCAGACCAGACCGATGGACAGGTCTGCTTGACCAGACCAGACCTGTAGACAGGTCTGCTTGACCGGACCAGACCAGACCTGTGGACAGGTCTGCTTGACCAGACCAGACCTGTGGACAAGTCTGCTTGACCAGACCAGACCTGTGAACATGCCTGCTTGACCAGTGGACAGGTCTGCTTGACCAGACCAGACCTGTGGACAAGTCTGCTTGACCAGACCAGACCTGTGAACATGCCTGCTTGACCAGTGGACAGGTCTGCTTGACCGTACTAGACCATACCTGTGGACAAGTTTGCTATTTAACAGAGCAGTCCTGTCAGTCATGGGGACAGGTCTGCTTTTTAATTGGTCCTATGGATATTATTTACCACGTTGATACATACAATCAAAGCAGTCCTGTTTACAAGTTAACTTTGGATCATGTTAACTTTATCTTGGAAGAGCAGACCAGACCAAAGTTAACTTGGAATCAAGTTAACTTTATCTTAGAGGAGCAGACCAGACCAAAGTTAACTTTTGATCATGTTAACTTTATCATGGACCAAACCAAAGTTAACTTTTGTAAGAACAAGTCTGGTTTGACTTTTGATAGCAGACCTGGTCATAAGTTAACTTGTGTGTAGGACTGCTTGTGGCAAAGTTAACTTCGTCCAAAGTTAACTTCAATTCTAGCCATGGACCTGTCTTGAAGTTAACTTTTCGGGCAATCATTAAACAGTCCTAGGACCAAGTCTGCTTTTTAAGTTAACACAAATTCTGTCCTAGGACCGGTCACAGCAGTCATAAAACCGGTCCTAAGTTAACTTTAATCAGTCATAAAGACTGCTTATTAAGTTAACTAGCTGTACAGGTTAGGACTGTTCCCATCTGTATTCAGTAAGTTGTTGATGTGTACAGGTAACTAACAAGTAATGAGCATTTATACATCGATCATCATATGGACTGAAAAAATCTTAATTGACTGCAATCCAATTGTCCGAACAGTCCTGAATTTACGGCAGTGAATAAGTCTGAAAAATGACAGAAAGACTGAGATTCACTTTATACATTTTACTTATGTTCAGAGCCATTGAGAGGATAAAAAATAACCTCCAATTTTTGTTGGTGTTCGTGATCGTTATATAATTTGCTATACTGTTTTATCATACTGCTGTTTGTCTTTTGGAGTTTTTCCGTTTTGTTTTTTTTGCCATGGTATTTGTTATCAGTGGCGAAAATTCTGAATTTTGAATAAAAAACATCATGTCTCTTTTTTGTCGAGCATGCGACTTTTGTCGAAAAAGCGAGACATAACGATCCTACATTTCGGCGTCGGCGTCGTTGTCGGCGGCGGCGGCGTCCACAAATATTCACTCTGTGGTAAAAGTTTTTGAAATTTTAATAACTTTCTTAAACTATCCTGGATTTCTACCAAACTTGGACAGAATCTTGTTTATGATCATAAGATAGCATCGAGAATTAAATTATGTAAAAACCAAAAAACGGTTTATATGTATTTTACTTATAAATGGACTTTGTTTTTCCGCCAATTAACATTACATTCACTCGATCTGTGGTTAAAGTTTAAATTTA